GGTTCGTGTGTTGTGAGAGCTTGGTGACTGATTTAGGTTCATCCTTGATTTTTCTGTGGTTACTGATTCCGAAATTTCTCTCGTGGTTACATGATTAGGGGTTTGTCATGGTAAATATGTTGTGGTTTTGAGATCTTAGATTCAGATTCAGTTTTTGAGTTAGTCGGTGGTTTGAAATAACCCTTTGAGGGTTAAGTTGTCAAGATTGATTTGGGAATCCTTTTTATGGATTTTTGGGATGTGACACCTTCCTTGCTTGTAGGGGCGGCTCTGCCTTATAAAAATTAAGGCATCTGCCTTAGGCCCCCCAATTTTGGAAGGCCTCAAATTTTTACCAAGAACAAATTATGTGTTATTTTTTTATTAAAAAAAACAATTATTTATAATAAAAAGTATATAGTATATATTTTTTATTACATTTCTTGCTAGCATTTACATTATTTATTTTTTAAAACTCATTTTTGCTTAAAGTTTATCAACTTATTACTTATAGAATTGTGTTAACAATTCATATAATGATTGCTTCAATAAAATAATAATTTTCAACGTTGAATTGATAAATTCTTACCTAAAACTAATAATTATAAATAAAAATAAGTACTCGAAAAAATCATCTATAAAAAAAATTAGGTAATAATTTGCATCTAAATAGTTAGAAAAATAAATTTTAAAATAAATATGTATGAAATTTGTTAGGCGTCAATTGAAATTTCGCTTTAGGCCCCTAATTACGTTGAGCCGCCCCTGCTTGCTTGCATACAACATCCATGGACAACCATTTTTACACTTAACTCTTAATCTAGTACTCTCATTCACATATCAACTCCTTTTTTTATAACATATTTTGTAACTGCCTCTCTAAATTCCTTTACACTTTCAAATATCAAACCACACTGTCATATTACAATATCACAAGTAGAATCATATATCACTCTATTACTCTTCTTTCTCCCCCTTAAACTCCCTCCTTCAAATTCATCATCAGAAACAGGTACTTCTTCATCACTTTGAAAACTATCACAATCAAAACTGTCATAGTATGGCTCATCCTCTGTTAGCTTATCTTTGAAATTCTTTTTGCCTTTTTCAATATCTTCATACCCTTCATCAAGTCCAACTTCACCTAAAAAAAAAGCCTTTTGTTTTTTCCTTTTTCTTTCTTCTCCTACTTCCTCTAAACTTTCTCACATCTTCCTTAACAATCTTTCACTCCTCATGCACATCACTTTCATAGTCAATAGACTGGTCAGAACAAATAGAATCATTGTCTATATCTTCCTCTGCATTTTCTTGGGCACTTGGTTCAACTTTTTCTTGAATAGAAGGTCCAGTTCCTTGTTGGACATTAGATTCAACTTCTTCTTCATTATCAATACAATCTATTGAAGAATAACCATCATCAGTTTCTTGTTGGACACCTACAACCCCATCATTCTCAACTCTTTCACTAAATGGAAAGGAAGAAGAGGAACATAACCCTAGATTTGGGTTTTTTGGTTGTGCAGTTAAAGAATCATCAGATTCCCCATGTGCATTAAAAGACTCACCCACTTGACTTAAAGATTGACTAATTTGACCTTCAGTGGGACCCACGTCCTCCAGAATAGTGTCATGACGCACATAAATATCTATTGTGTCCCCATCATGCATAAATAATGCAATGTTACAAATGTCCATGTCATTTTTCAATTCCACCAGATCACCCCCTAGAGATGGAACTGCATAAGTTTTTTCTAACTTACTAATCCCAAAAGACTTAGCATAATTTGCAAGTTCAAGAATTGACAAATGATCTTCATCCACATTCTCTACATATTCAGTCCTACCCCCATCATATACTGAACCTACCTCACTCACCAAGATACCCCCAAATTTGAACCTTAAATTGAGATACTTAGTAGCCATAATGTCAACCTATAACCACAATAATAATCAATATATTGTACAAGGCAACAACAACAAAACATATGCAACAACAGCAAAACAGAGGTAACAACACCAAAACAGAGACAACAACAGAAAAACAGAGGCAACAAAACCAAATTTTACTCATAAGCATACAATTATACAAGGAAATTATAATATTTAACAATACAAAAACATAATAGATGAATTGGAACCCTAAAACCCTAAAATATTGATTTTACTCAACAGCATACAAATATACATAAGGAAATTGCAAAAAACCCCAACAGTTAACAATACCAAAATAGAATATTGAAATCAAAATCCTAGAATCTTAATTTTACTAAAAAACCCTAATTTTTTTTAACTAATTACCAGAAACCCTAATACTCATGCATACATAAGCTAAACAAGTTCATACTAATACATTCATTAAGTGAAAATTCTGGTTGAAAACTATCAAACCCCTAATTGGAAGATCAATCGGAAACTCAATCGAAAATATGGCAAAACCCTAGTCGAATTATGGCGAAACGAAAAATAGGGCAAACTTTAAATGAAAAAGTAAAGGAAACAAACAATAACACTTACTTGGTAAGAATTTCAGACAAATTTGAAATTTAATCGACCAACTTCATGTCTAAGAAGACCCAAATCCAAAAAGAGTTCCGCGAAATATGCCCTTTACTCCGTCGATTACACTTCTTAGAGAGCCAAAAGCTTTGAAATCTGCAAGAACTTCACGTTGTCGATTACACTTCTTAGAGCTTAGTGAGAAGTTTTGAGCTTAGTGAGAAGCTTAGTCCGGAAGTTTTAGGTGAGAAGGTTTGATATTTATTTTTGCCATATTTATTTGTCTAGGTGGCTAATATTTATCCAGCTGAAAATCCACATCACCACTTTTGTCAACCTGTCACGCGCGTGTAGTCACGATTGGAGCAGGTGGACAATAAAGGTGAACGCAATGGGGGGGAGGTGGGTTATTAAAACGGAATATAGTTTAGATGTACACTGAATAAAAAGCTTCGAGTCCAGGAAGGTAATGAGCACTTTTGCCTTTCAAAAAAGTAAGATCTTTGATTAAATTTTTGCGAGAAAATAAATTTCTTTGGAAAATAACAAAAATTATTTTATAGAAGCTAAAAAAGTAGAAAGATATTTTTGAGAAAAAAATGCACTTGTAAGTATTTTTAAAAGTTTGGCCAAACTAATGATTACTCAATTATTTTTTAGATTTTGGTTAAACAAAAATTACTTTTCACAAAAGTAATTTTAAAAAAAAAGATTTTTACTAAAGGCACTTTTCAAAATAAAATGATTTTAGAGTCTAGTCAAATATCAATTGTTTCTATGATACCTTTTGAAAAACACTTTTAAGAAAAATACACTTAAAACAATTTAAATTGTTTGATTAAATACTAATTGCACTTGAAAAATGGTTTTCAATGTTATTGGTCAAACACAAATTGTTTCTCACTAAAAGTATTTTTTGAAAAATACAAATTGTTTCTCGCTAGAAATACTTTTAAAATTTATTAGTTAAATGCAGTCAATCATATGGGTTCGACATCCAATTATTTACAATCACTATATAACTTGTACCATGTACACTTACGTGTGTAGTTTGGATGCAACAATGGTTCTATTGAGAGGTTGAAGGCAAGGTTAGTGGTGAGATAAGAAATTCAAAGAGAGGGGATAGATTTGGTGACGTTTTCTACTTCGAGTTTATAAAAGTACTTTCATTGATTGTCAATTCTTGACTTAGTTCGTCCACCTAATAATTGTACTACTTCATTATTACTTTCACCCGCTCCCAAATTTGTTCTCGGAAAAGTATTTCAACATATATTTTCCATATTTTAATGCAATATGAATTTCTTTTTTATGATGTATACATTTCTATTTTTAAAAAGTAGGAACAAATAAATTTGTTTGAAAAAAAATGTTGTAAAAATATTTTTTTAGTACTTTAATAGAGCAAATAGTCAAATACTTCATGTCCCGCATGGATGTATGTTACTTGAAGATTATAATATTGCAAATTGTACAGGATGAAAATTTAAAGGAAAGAAATCCAAGACGCAATGAAGGAGCTCGAGCAGATATATAAAATATCTTCCATGAAAACATTTTCCTTGGTAACGAACACACCCATAGGCTTCAATTAAATATGGATGAACGAGCATCTCCAGAGAGGTACTCTATCAAATCTTTCAAAACAACATAAAATGCAAGATGTCATGAGAACATAACATATTTCCCCAAAAAGAGTATACGAGCAATAACTCTTTTAAGGACAATCGATTCTTCTCGCCTTAAAGGCGTTCTCAGTCTATTTTCTTTCATAGCATGCATAGACACACTCCAAAATGTTAAATGTAGCCATAATCTAATATCTTTTCATGAATCAATGATCACTGAAGACTCTAAAATGGAAAACTCTAATAGCTCTTACAAGCAATTTTAAGTTCAGCATTATCCTGGTCCTGAGTCTCATTTCCTCTCTTTATTAGAGCTAGGCTCTCCTTGTAATTGAAAACATAAGAGGCAATAAGCCTCAGCTGATTTCCAAGATCTGTAACTTGACTTGTTGTAGGGTCATATAGCACCAGCTGTGAAGTTTCTGTCAGTTCAAAAATAATCTTTATCATTCTCCCAAATATCGTTAGGCAAATGAGCAACATCTATACGAGGTTGAACAGTAAACACTTTGGACCAACTTCCCTCTTGTTTCATTTCATATATGGATGTCATAGACTTATCACTGACTAACATTGCAAGCGAGTCTCCACGCAATGTCAGCCTCCTCCAGCGTTCACCTGGAATATCTGGGCCTTGCATCTCCCCAAACTGTTCGCTGCCCATGGCAAATGACTGAATCTTGTATATATTATCAAGGCTCCTACAACTCCAATAATAAACCCCGTTCAGATATATGACGAAATAGAGAGAACCTGACGTAAAACTGGAAGGAAATTCTAGGTTCTTCCATGAGTTATCGCATGAGGAATAGACACAGACATAGACATGAGGGTAACCGCCCTGTTCCTGTCCCTGTCCTCGTCCCTGATTATCAAAGAATACTCGAATCCAAACAACTATATAATCCTGAGTCAACAGGTCAAACCCCAATCCAAATTGATGATCATAGTCACAGAAGAAGTGCTTAATCTCAAAAGGCTCAGGAGGCAGAGGCCAGAACTCTCTGGTGGCAGGATTCCACAAACTCAAGCGGACACCGTATTCACAAAATACTTCCTGCAGTAAGAATAAGCCATTAACTGGGCCAGCAACACACTTGAAATAATCGGTCCTCGGAAGATGAAGGAGAATTTTTTGCTCAGGGGTCACACCCGGAACTATTTTTTCAGGGAGCAAGGAGACTACAACAGACTTTACGAGGGTGTGTTCTTCCTTTTCTAATTTCAAGTTGCAAATGAGGAGACGGGCACGATTGTTCTTGTGATGAAAATGCTTCTCTATGAAACTTTCACTTTTGATGAGAGCATACCAGTGCTTGCACACACATTTGAAACGCAAGAGTGGTTCCACTGGCAACATCAATAAAATATCAACCACAAGATCTTCTGGTAAAGGACAATAACAATCCATACTGGTAGTCCTTTGCTCCCCAATCTTTTACCTGGAAATATACACAGATCTCTCGTTTAGAATGACACAACTTACAAACATATTTCAAAGAGAACAGATCTACAAAACATGCATTATTAATAGAACAAAAGTGCAACAAAGAAATCAAGCAGCAATGTTACCATGTAATCAAAATTTGCCAATACTGTCATATTAAGACTCACACCCAAAAGCTAGCTCATATGGAGGAAGGTTGCTCAAGCAGGATCTCGTCCCGGTCCAATGTGGGATCATTCTCATCAATAAACAAACACATGTATGGTATACATTTGTCGACTATTTTTTATTTTTTTGGATGAGCAACTCTATTTATGTTAATTTCCATAGAAATTGAAAACATGGGAAAATTCATACTAAAGAACTAGTCATTTGGTTTTCTAGTATTTTCATTAGCCCATCAATGGTTTTGTTTTTGTTCTACACCTCAACAAACGTAGCATATGCAGCCATTTTGCAGACATAGACATGTACCGGTTCATCTCAGAATACTCGAATCAATCTCAAAAGGCACAGAGGCCGATTTTAGGGGTTGGCACCCCCTCTGTTAATGTCAATTTCCCTAGAAAAGCGAACAGATGTAAATTCATACAAGACTAGTAAAGAACTGGCCGTTTGCTTCTCTAGACTTTTCATTAGGCCAATCAATGATTTCCCTTTTGCTTTCCTCTACATCTCAGCTTAGCATATACAACAATTATGCAGGTAATTTACGGACCATAAAGCAATAAAAGGTTGTCCGGTTAGTAGGTGAGTTATTCATGTACTAAAATCAGCCTAACTAGTACCATGTTTAGTAGCATTTCAGTTTGTTACAGATTATTGTAAATATATTCTATTACCTTATATAGATGGGAGATATCTGTAGGAATCATAAGAGATATGTAGGATATTTTCTTACCTTTGTTGATGCTTCTTTCTAGTGTATATATACATGTAATGTTGATATAATAAACAAGAAATTCAGTTCTGCAAACTACATGGTATCAGAGCCACTAGGCTCAAGATCTTGGTTCAGAAACTTCAGAACTTTTCCTAGCATCTTGGGAAAAGGTTTCGGCTACTTGAGTTTTGGAGAATACATCTAGGCTTGCTGTCCCAGCATCGTTTCATCTATTCCAACGTACTGCAGTATTGGTTTTTGGTGTTAAATCACTGCAGGCTAATAATTTCTTCTCTTCCAGGTTTGATTCTTATCCTTTGAATCTGTGACGTAAAATTTGGTAATAGCTTTGCGCTTCAGTGGCTGCTTGGGTTCAGTTTTTTTTTGCTCTTTTCAACCAGTTTGGTGTCAGATTTTTTATCCTTTGCTCTTCTTGATCAATTTCGTGGATAAACATTAGTTAAAATGTCCGATGATAAATCTGCCATGACTGGAATTGTTCCAGCATTGTCCAAAATTACTGATAATAAATTAAATGGGTCTAATTATTTAGATTGGAGCAGAAAAATCAGGGTCTACTTGCGTAGTGTTAAAAAGGATGACCATCTTATCCAAGATCCTCCAACTGATGATACTAAAAAGGCTTGGCTTAGAGATGATGCTAGACTACTCTTGCAAATTATAAACTCTATTGACAATGAAGTTGTTGGTTTGGTTAATCACTGTGAGTTTGTGAAAGAGTTAATGGATTATTTGGAGTATTTATATTCTGGCAAAGGTAAAATATCTAGGATTTATGAAGTTTGTAAGGCTTTCTATTGTTCTGAGAAGGAAACTAAGTCACTAACTACATACTTCATGGAGTTCAAGAAAACCTACGAGGAACTGAATATACTTCTGCCATTCAGTACTGATATCAAGGTGCAGCAGGCTCAGAGGGAACAAATGGCTATAATGAGTTTTTTAGCAGGACTCCCATCTGAGTTTGAAACTGCTAAATCACATATTCTGTCTAGTTCTGAGATCAGCTCTCTCAAAGATGTTTTCAATCGGGTGTTGCCCACAGAGAGTACTCCATCCATCCAGCAGACCAATGTGCTTGTTGCAAAAGGAGGAGGAGGAAGAAATAATGCAGGGAGATGGAACAACAATGAGACAGGGAGATGGAACAACAATAATGATGCAGGGAGATGGAACAATAACAATGATGTAGGGAAGTCGAATCATAATAATGATGCAGGAAGGTGGAACAACAACAATAACTCTGGGAGATGTTACAATAACAAAAGAGGAATCAATGATACTGGGAGATGGAACAATAACAAAGGAGGAGACAATGATGCTGGGAGATGGATCAACGATAATACTTGTCGCTATTGTAAGGAACCCGGGCACATAAGGCGAAACTGTAAGAAATTACAGAATCGCAACCAACAACTTCAAACTCAGACTGCCACTGTTGCTGCCACTTCTAGTTCACCCTCAACTGTTATAATCTCAACCGATGAGTATGCTAGACTTACAAAGTATCAGGAATCAATGAATGAAACCACTCTAGCTCGTGCCCTTACTGAGTCAGGTAACAAATGTCTCATTTCCTTCTCAAGCAACTGGATCATTGATTCGGGTGCCACAGATCACATGACAGGTAATCCCAAAATAATCTCTAAATTCCGATCACATAAAGTACCATCCTCTGTTACCATAGCTGATGGATCTAGTTATACCATTGAGGGATCTGGAATCGTATCTATTACTTTGTCCTCTGTTCTAGGCCTACATAGTCTTGCCTTTAATCTGATTTTTGTGAGTAAACTTACCAAAGAACTACAATGTTTTGTCTCCTTATATCCCAATTATTGTCTTTTTCAGGATCTTATGACGAAACAGATTATTGGTAAAGGACATGTATCAAACGGTCTTTACATTCTTGATGAATGGGCGCCTCCATCAATTGCTTGCTCCAGTATCGTCTCATCATTTGAAGCACATTGTCGTTTGGGACATCCTTCTCTACCAGTTTTGAAGAAATTATGTCCTCAATTTCATAATGTACCTTCAATAGATTGTGAGTCTTGTCATTTTGCAAAACACCATAGAAGCTCGTTAAGTCCTAGGAATAATAAGCGGGCTGATTTTGCTTTTGAGTTAGTTCATTCAGATATTTGGGGACCATGTCCGGTTGTTTCTAAAGTCGGGTTCAGATATTTTGTTACGTTTGTGGATGATTTTTCCCGAATGACATGGATTTACTTTATGAAAAATCGTTCTGAAGTGTTCTCCCACTTCTCAAATTTTTGTGCTGAGATTAAGACACAATTTAATGCTTCTATCCATATATTGAGGAGTGATAATGCTAAAGAATTCATGTCAGCATCATTTCAGAACTACATGAATCAATATGGTATTCTTCATCAATCTTCGTGTGTGGATACACCCTCTCAAAATGGAGTAGCTGAGAGAAACAATAGACATTTGCTTGAAACTGCTCGTGCTTTGCTATTCCAAATGAAGGTACCTAACCAATTTTGGGCGGATGCGGTATCCACAGCTAGCTTTTTAATTAATCGCATGCCATCCACAGTGCTTAATGGTGATATTCCCTATGGTGTTCTCTTTCCAAATAAGCCATTATTTTCATTAGAGCCAAAGGTGTTTGGAAGTACTTGTTATGTTCGTGATGTGCGACCCCATGTTACTAAACTAGATCCCAAGGCTTTGAAATGTGTTTTTTTGGGATATTCTCGCTTACAAAAGGGTTACCGGTGCTACTCTCCAACCCTTAACAGATATATGGTGTCGATAGATGTGGCGTTCTCTAAGAACATTTCCTTTTTTTCTTCTCCCGACACTTCTCCAACTCAGGGGTAGGAAGAAGAAGAATGGCTTATTTATAAGATCACTCCACCGAGCTCAGAACATCATAAGGAAGTTTGTGGTAGTGTTGAGCAGTCAACTGAGAATGTGCCTTCTGATGTTCCTTCTGCTCAAACAAAGCCGCCGATAATTCAAGTTTATTCTAGGAGACAAGTGACCAATGATACATGTCCTGCACCAACTATTTCGTCATCAGATCCTCCTCCGATCAGTCCCTCTCCAACAGAAAATCTTGACATTCCCATTGCTCTTCGCAAAGGTAAGCGTCAGTGTCAATCAATATATTCCATTGCTAATTTTATCTCATATGACCACTTGTCTCCCGCATCTTGCTCTTTGATTGCTTCTCTAGATTCCATTTTTGTACCCAAAACAGTTCAGGAAGCTTTGAGTCACCCTGGGTGGTATGATGCAATGCTCGAGGAGATACATGCATTAGATGAAAATCACACATGGAATTTGGTAGACTTACCAAAAGGAAAAAAGGCAGTGGGATGTAAGTGGGTTTTTACGGTCAAAGTAAATCCTGATGGTTCTGTGGTGAGGCTTAAAGCCAGACTAGTGGCTAAAGGATATGCTCAGACTTATGGGTGGATTATTCTGATACTTTTTCTCCTGTGGCCAAACTCACTTCCATTCGCTTGTTTATTTCTCTAGCTGCTTCTAAGAATTGGCCGCTACATCAATTGGATATCAAGAATGCATTTCTTCATGGTGATCTCCAAGAAGAAGTGTATATGGAGTAACCGCCCGGTTTTGTTGCTCAGGGGGAGAATGGGAAAGTTTGTCACTTGAAGAAATCCTTGTATGGTCTGAAACAGAGCCCACGTGCTTGGTTTGGGAAATTTAGTGAGGTAGTTCAGAAGTTTGGGCTTACAAAGAGCAAATGTGATCATTCGGTCTTCTACAGACAATCAACAGTTGGCATTATTCTTCTTGTTGTATATGTTGATGACATTGTCATCACTGGGAGTGATTATGCAGGAATATCTTCTCTCAAATCTTTCTTGCATTCGACATTTCAAACGAAAGACTTGGGACAATTGAAATACTTCTTGGGAATAGAAGTAAGTAGGAGTAAGAAGGGGATATTTTTATCTCAAAGAAAGTATATCCTTGACCTTCTTGAGGAAACTGGAAAGTTGGCAGCCAAGCCTTGTAGTACTCCAATGGTTCCCAATATGCAGCTAACAAAAGATGATGGTGATCCTTTCGATGATCCAGAGAGATACAGGAGATTAGTTGGGAAACTAAACTATCTCACTGTAACTCGTCCGGATATTGCTTTTGCAGTTAGTGTTGTTAGTCAATTCATGGCCACGCCTAGAGTCAAACATTAGGCAGCTTTGGAGCAAATATTATGTTACTTGAAAGGCACCCCTGGACTTGGCATAGTATATAGCAACAATGGACATACTCGCATTGAGTGTTTTGCAGACGCCGATTGGGCTGGATCCAAAATTGATAGAAGGTCTACTACTGGCTATTGTGTCTTTGTGGGTGGAAACTTGGTGTCATAGAGAAGTAAGAAACAAAATGTTGTATCTCGATCTAGTGCAGAATCTGAGTATAGAGCTATGGCACAATCCACATATGAGATTATGTGGATACATCACCTCTTAAGTGAAGTTGGGTTGAAGTATCCCACACCCGCGAAACTTTGGTGTGATAATCAAGTTGCTCTTCATATCGCCTCAAATCCAGTGTATCATGAAAGAACTAAGCACATTGAGGTGGACTGCCATTTTATTCGTGAAAAGATTCAAGAAAACCTTATTTCCACAGGCTATGTGAAGACCGGAGAGCAACTAGTTGATTTGTTCACAAAGGCATTGAATGGAGCTCGAGTTAACTATTTGTGTAACAAGCTGGGCATGATCAATATATATGCTCCAGCTTGAGGGGGAGTGTTACAGAATATTGTAAATATATTCTATTACCTTATATAGATAGGAGATATCTGTAGGAATCATAAGAGATATGTAGGATATTTTCTTACCTTTGTTGATGTTTCTTTCTAGTGTATATATACATGTAATGTTGATATAATAAACAAGAAATTCAGTTCTGCAAACTACACAATTGTTATAAATAAAAGAGAGAAGTATTAAAAACACCCTGAACAAATTATATATTAGTTACGTTCCCAAACTATTGACAGCCTTAAAAATACCCCTCTACTTGACTAACTAAACTTAGATACACCCCCAATCTGCCACATGACATAGCAAGTGGTCTCAAACTCTTGTAGGAGCATAGGGCTCTTAATAAAAAACCGAGAGAAGTGTTGAAAGCACCTAAACTTAGCGAGAATTTAGGGGTGTATTTCACCCATATTGCTAGATCGAGGGTGCATTTAAGTTCAGTTAATCATGTAAAGGGGTATTTTAAAGGTTGTCAATAATTCGGGATGAAATTAATAATTCGCACCCAGTTTAGAAGTGTTTTTACTACTTCTTTCTAAATAAAATTCAGCACACCAAGTACGGTATTCGATTTCCGGTTTAAACAAATATATGTATAAGTTATGAAGAAAACATATGTATGATTTATGCAAGGTAGAAGATGGAATAACCAAACATGGCATAACTAATACCTGCATTAATTTTAACTAGCAACCAAACATAGAGGCGTATCTAGAGGGGGTGCCATGGGTTCACGTGAACCCATGCTCCCCTCTCTAGATCATATATAGTAGTCTTATATTTTTTTTTAAATATTTAAATATAGATGTGTGAACCCATGTTCAAAGTATCATATAATAATGCGATGATGATTGGGTGCACTTCTCTAAGTGAGAGATAGAAATTTAAATCTTATATCTATCTTGTCTCTCTGAGTAACACTTTTCCAAGTGGTTATCAGTTACACTTTTGTCATTTTAACTAATTTTTCTTTTGTTTTTTCCTTTATTCTTTCAAAATTTTCAAGTGTGTTACATTGAGAATTCCTAAAAAATTTAGCATTGTAAATTTTTTATATAATTAAATCAAATGTGTATATTAAAATTTAAAACTAGTAGTATTATATACTTTGGACCTATAATTTTTAAACTTTAATGGTTCATATTACAAACTAAAAGTCAAATTGATATATAAATTTACTAGAAACGATTCATGTTTACACTACATGGAGAAGAAGGAAAAGAAGAGAATGAAGAAGAAGGACCAGCAGCAACAACAACAGACGAAGAAGAAGATCAAGATGAAGAGAAGTAATAGCAGCTGAAAACGTTTATTTGCCTGAAGTTTGTTGTTTTTGAATCTTGGAGGTGTTACGCATGATGTTGAATCGATCTCCGTTTTTCTTTAAGGGCAATCGATTCTTCACACCTCAAAAAGCGTTCTGTATTTTTCTTTTCATTCATAAAAATAAGTACTCCAAAATGCTACATGTCGCAATAATCTAATGGAAAACAAATCTTGCACTAATCACGTGTAGAAAAATACCACAAGTGTTTTTTCGTCAACATAATAACAAACAATTTTAAATTCAAACACAATGTTACAATGAGGTAGCATAACAGCTAATGTCACAACAATCTTATTTATTACTAGAAAAATCTGTGTCCAAACCAAGAACACCCAACTATTTAAGTTCATCCTGCGTAAGGCGGACCCCTAATAGTAAACAAAGACTTATCATCAGTTGATCTGACACTGAAGAAGTGTTCAATTTGCTCGACAACATTATCCTGGTCCTGAGTTTCATCTCCGTTCTTTATTAGAGCTAGGCTCTCCTTGTAATTGAAAACACAATTTGTTCGGTCCATTTGAATTCCAAGATCTGTAACCTCACTTGTTGTAAGGTCATATAGCACCAGCTGCTTAGTTTCTCTAATTTCGAAAACAATCTTATCATTCTCCCAGATGTCGCGAGGCCAATGAGGATCTATACTAGGTTGAACAGTAACAACTTTGGACCAACTTCCCTCTTGTTTCATTTCATATATGAATGTCATAGACCTATAACCAGCCAACATTGCAAGCGAGTCGCCACGCAATGTAAGCTTCTTCCAGTATTCATTTGGAATAACTGGGAGTTGCATCTCCCCAAACTGTTCGCTGCCCATGTCAAATGAGTGAATCCTGTACATCTCATTTACACGCAATGAACGCCAATAATAAACCCCATTGAGATAAGTGGTGTCAAAGGGCAAACCTGAGGTATAACTGGGAGGGAATTCTAGGTTCTTCCATGAGTTGTTGCATGAAGAATAGACACAGACAGAGACGTGAGGGTAAACGCCGTGTCCCTCATAATCTCGAATCCATACAACCTTATAATATTGAGTCAACAGGTCAAACCCCAACCCGAATTGATGATAATGATCTGAGAAAAAGTGCTCAATCTCAAAAGGCGCAGAAGGCAGAGGCCGAAACTCTCTGGTGGCAGGATTCCATAATCCCAAGCGGACACCTTCATTATAAATTTGTTCCTGCACTAAGAATAAGCCATAAACTGGGCCAGCAACACACTTGAAATCAGATATATTCGGAAGGTGAAGGAGAACTTTTTGTTCAGGGGTCACATCCGGAACTATTTTTTTTGGGAGCAAGGAGAACACCACAGACTTTACGAAGATGGGTGCGATCTTTGTTATTTTAAAGTCGCAGACAAGGAGACGGGCACCATTGTTCTTCTGATGAAAATGTTTCTCTTTAAAACTCGCACTTTTGATGAAACCATACCAGTGCTTGCACACACATTTGAAACGCAAGAGTGATTCCACTGGCAACCTCGATAGAATATCAACCACCAGATCTTCTGGAAAATGACACTGACAATCCATACAGATGGGCGTTTGCTTCCCAATCTTTTACCTGGACATATAAGCAAATCTCTTGCTTAGAATAAACAGAATGAAACAACTTACAAGCATATTGAAAGAGAACAAATCTAGAAAACATGAATTAATAGAACAGAAGTTCAACAAAGAAATCAAGCAGAAGTGTTACCATGTTATCAAACTAAGCAAAAAAGAGTAGATTACACATTTGGCCGCTCAGCCAAAAGTATGTAACATCCACTAGTCAATACTCAAATTAGGACTGACACTCCAAAAACTAGCTCAAAGGATTGCCCAAACCTTATAAGGAGTCCAGAAATCTCGTCTCGATCCGGTGTGGGGTCATTTTCATCAGCAAATACACATATATCACATGTACGGTATACATCTGCCGACTATTTTTTTTCAATGGGCAGCTATTTATGTTAATTCTGTAGGAAAATGGAAAGATGGGAACTCATAGAAAAGAACTAGTTTAGTTTTCTATTGTTTTCATTAGCCAATGAATGGTTTCTTTTTTTTTTCTCTCCATCTCAATTAAGCATATACAACCATTTTGCAGGTAATTTAAGCAGCATGAAACAGTAAATACCACACCCTTTTCCATTAACATCAATCCACAACACTTGGAAACGGAAGAAGGTTTTTTTTTTGGTTAACTTTATGGACCATTGGTCCTTTTATTACTCATAAGAACGCATCATTCAAGCATTGGGACGATGATAGATAAGTCTATCAGCCCAATCTAGACAAATGAAAGAGGCCCAAAAAAGGAAATACAAAAAAGGAACTCGGTCTAAGAGACCGAGTTCTTGCCTTCTCCCCCAAATAGGGTTTCCTAAAAGAAGCTTCCTATTCCACACTCTCCTATAACCCGCCGCTTCCATGTTTTTGTCTCCACTGAGGTATATCACTATCCAAAGCTTAACTTAGCACATCCTGCAGATATTTTTAACAATGGAAAGTCGGAAGATGCTAAGAATGGTCTAAATGGGGGTGGATCCAATTTAATTAAGAGCAAAATCATTACCATTAATATATCAACACATCTATGTTGGTCGGACAATTCATAATTATTGCAAAGCGCGGTTCAGATCTACCAAAAGTAATAATGCATTTTTGGAGGTTCTGACATGAGTGCGGCAACAATTTTTGGAGATTAAGAATATATTTGTGTAACTCTAACCGGCAAAACCCTAATTTAGGAGTAAAATCCAACATCACAAATAGTAAAAATTCTAAACAAAAGAAGAAAAAGAAGAGTATTTAGAAAGAAAGAAAAATCTAACCTGGTAAAGTTGATGAAGAAGAGTCAGTGCGATTGTGAGAAGGAAAACATGGAGAAAAGTGCAGAAATGAGATGATATCTCCTTCCTTCTTTGTCAATTTATACAACTCGCTATAATCCCTTTATTTAATGTTCTAAATATATTTATATAATGTATATAGACGTTTCTTAACATAATATACATAATACTATCATACGTGGAGATATTTAGGGATTTTGTGATTTTATTTCCTTTGATAGATTTACTTGTACACCAACAAATAGCTCACTCTTGGAATAATACGATAAGGAGATTTTCATCATTGTCTCGAAATATTTATCACTTGGTTTATTTATGTATCAACGTGTGACTAGTATTCCTCTTTGGCACAGTGTAAGTCATTTTCTGGTCTTTGGTTACCGTATAAATGTACATATAGGGGGAAAATGACTTTCCTTGCAGTCACACATGAACGGAAGTCAAATTCCTTACAATGATTTTGGGTTTTAACTTCATATGACTTGCTCCAACCAACACTTAGACACTAGTATATTTTTTATTTTTTTTATGACAAGGGAAACCCGCAACTGCTACCCTTTGGGTGCGCACAGGGTAAAACCTCTGCTCCTATGCAATAGCTCGCAAACTACACAGGAGAGGTAACCTGCACTAGGTAAGCCCGGTGCGACGAGCTCGACCCAAAAGGCAAACCCCTTGCTTTCGCTGGCTGGCAAGGGGTTTCGAACTTGAGACCTCCAACATGGAAGTTCCAAGCCCAAACCACTGGGCCACCCCAAAGGGTAATTTTACATGGTATCAAAGCCAGGTACACCCCGGTATGGGCTCTCCATCCACGCTGCCATTGGGCCTGGCGTGAAAGCAGTGTTTAAGTGGGTAAAGTCCCACAAGGTTGGGGATATGGATTTGCGCAATCCTCCACTCCTAACCCAACTTTTGAGCTTGTTAGGCTAAGGTGACATATCTTTACATGGTATTAGAGCATCGTTCTAATTACTTTTGCTCAGAATATTGATCGTAAGTTAGATATGGTACAAAGGAGGTACCTGGGGCTTCGGATTTCAATCTCACAATCGTTCTAGAGAGGACCGTCTCATCACGATCTATAGAACCGGTGGTCGGCAGATAAGCGTCGAGTCTCACGCGTCGGAATACTACTTCTGGCAGTTTCTGTGTTGGACGTGAGTATGGCTTCCGAACAGACCAGGTTTCCAGTAACACCATCACCTTGATATTTTCGATCAAAAGTTGGTGGTCTCGTGTTCAACAGACCTCGGTTGGAAAGGTTTCAAAACACTCCAGGTTTCGTCAACTTGGTTTTCTTTGGGCCAAATCACTTGATGTCTTATATGTTGATTTTGGTGTCTGGTTACTTCTGAATCTCCATCTTCTTGGTAGAATTTCACTGTGAGTCTCTAGATTGTTGACTGTTTATTCTTAGTGAAGAATTATATGTTGATTGGGTCCAGCAAGTTCTATGAATTGTTGAGCTTTTGGAGATCTATTGAGGTATTTCTATTTGGTGCAATTTCGTTGGTTTCCAATTATTGGTAAGGTTATAGAGAACTGTTGGGGTATTTCTGGTTAGTGCAATTTTGCTGGTTTCCTCACTCCGTTAATTTGTTTGGAAAATGACTGATGTGATAAAATAACTCAAAGTTCTAAAGTTGTTGCTTCTGACAACATGATTTGGTTCGAAGAGCAATTTCCTAATTTATCTCAATATCAGAAATCACGTAAAGAAATCCAATACAGGTAAGGCTTTTGCTAAGTTGGATAAAACGTGTCGTGTCACCTTTTCAAGTCTCAGTCTGTTGCATGCTCCAGTGTTGTGTCTCCATTTGAAGCACATTGTCAATTGGGACACCCTTCTCTACCTTAGTTAAAGAAGCTATGCCCTCAATTTCAGAATATTTCTACATTGGAATGTGAGTCATGTCGATTTGCAAAACAATATCACATTTTGCCAGGTCAAAGGGTTAATAATGAGTTTACTCAGTTTTTGAGCTAGTTTTTTTTAATGTTTTGATTAATCGCATGCCCTCTGGCGTGCTTGCCAATGGTGCTCCTTAAAATGTTCTCTTTCCAAACAAGTTACTATTTTCGATGGAGCCTAGGGTGTTTGGAAGCACATGATATTCGAGATGTTCGACCATTTGTTACCAAGTTGGAGCCCAAGGCATTGAAGTGCGTTCTCTTGGGCTACTCTTGTCTTCAGAAGATATATCGATGTTATTCTACTGAATTGGCAAATATTGAGAGTCAACTAATGTAGTATTTTTAGAGACTACACCATTCTTCTATACACCTCCCATTTCTACAATTCAGGGTGAGGAAGACAAGTGGTTAGTCTATCAGGTTACCCTTACAAGCTATAGAACCGATGGTCGGCAGATAAGCGTTGAGTCTCACGCGTCGGAGTACTACTTCTAGCAGTTTCTATGTTGGACGCATGTATGGCTTCCGAATCAGACCAGGTTTCCAGTAACACCATCGCCTCGATATTTTCAATCAAAAGTTGGTGGTCTCATGTTCAACAAACCTCGGTTGGAAAGGTTTCAAAACACTCCAGGTTTCGTCAACTTGGTTTTCTTTGGGCCAAATCACTTGATGTCTTATATGTTGATTTGGGTGTCTGGTTACTTCTGAAAAAGTAGTCACCAAAATGATGGCATGATGCTACACAAATTAGATATAGAAAGTAGTCACTAGAATGATGGCACATTGCTACACAAATTGAATATGAAAAAGTAGTCACCTGAAAGATAGCACGGTGCTACACAAATACCGACAGATATGGGGTTGACACAAAACAGTCCTACAAAGTCATTGGAAATTGACTCATGATGACCTGTCTGACTAAGTTTACTTCCCCTGAATAAGGGGTGTGTTCATGCATATACCATTGATGTCACTTTTGTTAAAATAATTATTGCCAGACGGGCAGCATTTATATGTAATAGCCACCCCCTCCGCCCGGCAGCGGAAGCTCTTTGATTTTCTACCAAGATCGTAGAGGCTCTGATATCATGTGAGAAATATAGGAAAAGAATAATATTAAATTGTTGTTGTGTCTACATTATTACATTGAGACTAGGGCTGGGCATAATATGGTTAAAACCGAAAAAATCGACCGAACCGATTTTTTTAAAATTTCGGTTTCGGTTTTTCGATTTTTCGGTTATTTCGGTCGGTTTCGGTTTTGATTTTTAATATTTCAGTTTTTCGGTTCGGTTTTCGATTTTTTAGCTTAAAAAATCGGTTAACCGAAAAAACCGAAATTAGATATATATATTCTTTAGTCTTTACCCCTTCATTAAATCCCAGCCCAATAGCCCAGGCCCAGGCCCAAATTCCAATCTGAATTAGAAATCCCTAATCTGAGACCACGTAGTCCATCAGTTTCAACCCTCGTCTCAAACTCTCAGTTACGCCGCAGCTCCGAGCTCGTCTCTCAACTCTCATCTCTCAGCTCGTCGTCTCAAGCATGCCGCTGCTCCTGGCACCTCGCTGACGTTGATTGCTCGCAGCCCGCAACTATTGTCTGCTCAGTGCTCGCGACTCCATAGTCAAAGGTCAGTGCTCACTGCTCATCGCGGCTTAAGTCTTAACTTCATCTAGAAATCTTTATTATGTTATATTCAATTTCAAATACAAGATGAGTACTTGAGTAGTTAGTATTGAGGGGTGTACAGTGTACTTGTAACTTGTAACTGTAACAATTCTTTTTGCATTTTGCCCATGAAAAGCACTGATATTTTGTTCATCTTTTGCTCTTAAATGAATAAGACCTCAATTGCTAATGGAATATGTTAATATGTTATGGACTTCCGTGGTTGGGTAGATAGTAAGAGAAGAAGAGAAACAAATTGAATGCCATCTAAAATCAGTGTGACGAATAGAACTTTTGGTATTCAAGCTTCACAGTCACCATGGATGTCTATTAGATCTTCATGTTTTCTTTTTAACAAGAATCAATTATTCAGGCAAAGCTTATTGACAAAAATCTCACTGTCCAAAATTAGTATCCATTTACCATTAGCATTTACCAGTAACTTCTACAAATGTCTGATAGTTTGGACTTTGGCTTTCTTTTGCTTTTATACACTTTATCTCTTCTTTTTCGCTGATATGATTTACTGACCATTGTTTACATTATTTTTTTCGATTGCGAGTCAATATCTTAATACTATTTTTATTCCTTGCGGTCCAGGCTTCCTTTTGGCAGCAGCAAAACTACTTTGGGGTTGATTTGACACCATTGCACGGATCTGCTACCAAGGATACTTTTCCCAGGTCAATATCCTATATATTAGGAACTCTTGCTTGGACTGGCTTTAGTGACCATACTTTTCTTATCCCTGATTTCACTTAGACTTGAACAACACTTTTAGAGCTTTCTTTAATGTTCCATTTTCCTGCTATGTGGAGTTCTCTTATTTATTAGTTACTTGTACTTTTACATATGTAGTATATGCTAAAATATCCAATTGTACTATGGAATCTTCAGAATATAAGGCTGTGTTTCAGTAGTGTTCTGTTAGTTAGGGACTGATCAGTGAGTTGGCTAGTGAACTGTAAGTCTGTAATGTACTGCGTGATTATTGTTCTTCTGAGTTCTGAACCGCAACTGAACTGCGTGAGTTTAATCATTGAATGCAAGTATGCAACTTTGTGATTATTTGTGTGATTTGTGAACTGTAATGTACTGCGTCTTTCTGATTGTTGTTATTCTTGTTTTTTTCACTTTTTTACAGATGACACAAATTGGAAGTAGGATAAGTGAAAGTGGAGGTTCAAATGACAGCATACCTAACACCTCATCTCCCAATGAGGTTGAAGTTGATGTTGATACTTCAAATAAAGAAAAACATGGAACCTAGAGCTACTTGTTGGAAGCATTTTGACAAGTTCACTGATGAAAGTGAAGCTAAGAAAGCCAAATGCAAGTATTGTGAGAAACCTTATGAAGCTTCTACATCGACTAATGGTACGTCGGCAATGAATAATCATATGAGAATATGTCTTAAATTTCCTCGTGACACCGTAGATAAAGGTCAAAATCTAATTAATTTTCTACCATCTTCAACGGGAGCAAAGGAAGGGATGATTAGCACTTGGAAATTTGACCAAGCACAAAGTAGGAGAGCTTTAGCCAAAATGATAATTGTTGACGAGCTACCGTTTAGTTTTGTTGAGAAAGAAGGGTTTTAAAACTTCATGAGAGTTACAGTGCCACAATTCATATTCCTTCTAGTAGAACCGTGACGAGAGATTGTTATGAACTATACCTTGAAGAAAGACA